TTTTTTTTTTTTTTTTTTGGAATTTCCCTGGTAAATTGGACAAAGTTTACAAAAGTGACCAAAGTGCTCCGGAGAAGGTGGTTTTCCTTTCCTTAGTAAGTTACTGTAAACTCTACAACATCCTCCCGAGTCTGCATTTCCATATTTATTTATAGCTGGGAGCACTGCAACAGCTTTTTGAAAGCTGAAAACAGTGAATTTTACTGAGTTAGAATTTTTTAAGCCCAATTAAAGTGACTGTTCTAGCCAACATCATTACCGGGTACCCATCATATGGATTAATGTTTTGGAGAAACCCTTTGGAATATATGCTCTTATCTTACATGTAAACACTGGTTTCATGTATGTGTCAAAATTGTCCTAATCAGCCCTACCATTTTTAAAAAGATATATTAAAAATAAAAATAAATCTTAATAAAAGAAATCGAGAGAAGTCCGTAAGGGGTAATATAAACACTATAAATTTTGTTAGATTATGTGTTTATTTTTGGAAATACTTGCTTAATTATAAAGGGACTAAATCTCACAATGACAAAAACTTACTTTATAGTGATTTAGCTGTACAATAATTGAAGTAAATCTGGCAAAAATGTTAACACTCTTAAATCTAAATGCTAGTGTATGGTGTTCTGTTTTTCTTTTTGCTTGAAAACTTTCACAATAAAATAAAGATAATGGACTAGAGTAGGGCTTGCAAAATTATGGCCATGGACCACGTCTGGCTCATTGCTTGTTGTTCGTTTTGTTTTGTTTTAAATTGGAATGCAGCTGTACTCATTTGCTTGTACGTTGTCTATGGCTACTTTCATTCTACAAAAGCAGAACTGAATAGTGTGACAGAGACGGTGTGGCCTGCAGAGCTTAAAGTAAGTCTTCATCTGGCCTTTCCAGAGAAAGCTTGCTTACCCTCAGACTGGATGAATAGATTATAGAGTGCAGCATGAAACAGAACTCATTAGGAGATTAGCTGATTTTAGGAAATTGCACAAGGTTGCCTGAAGGCTGTGAAGAAAAGTTATGATGACTGAAAATGACCAGGAATATTTATGCAGAAGATTACAATTTTTCAAATTTTTGCATGAAATTTACATAGGTTACCTAGAAAATTTAAGGAACAAGATTTTTTTTTTTTTTTTTTTTTTTTTAGAAAGGG